ACCGGCCATGTCCGCAAAGTGCTTCGATGCGACGTTCTCGTGATGGAGTCGGCCCACCACACCAGCATCCTGGTCTACCCAATTACAGTGAAAGGTAGAAAATATTTACCTGTCACCTATGGCTACGCAACCACCATGCGCCGAGCGCAAGGTGCAACGCTTGATGCAGTTGGCTTGCGATTCGATCGCCGTGTTCCCGATCGAGGATACGCTTAAGTCGGCGTGTCCAGAGCCAAACACAGAGCCTTCGTCTTCCACCTGGGCACGTTGCGCAGAACAGGTTGGCTGCCGGTTGGCTCGCCCGAAGAGGAGCAGCAGTTGCAACCGTCCGTGCTCAGTGAGACCACGGAAGAGGAACAGACAGCATCCGAAACCATTACGAGCAGCCCAGATGACGTCGGCCTGCCCAACTCGAGCTCCGACGAGGAACCCTGTGTACATGATTTTGCCTCCATGCACGAAGCCGACACAGATGATGAACCCATTGCAGATGATTTTGCTTTCAACATTTCCGAAGAACCCGATGCGGATGACTTTGACATCTCTGCTTGGTGAGTTGCCGCCGTTGTATGTTGGCCTGTCTGCAAACAGTTCCGGCCAACTGCTGAAGTCTCGCTAATGGACGACATTTCAAGACACATGCTCCGAATAAAAAAATCTCGCGACACAAAGATCTCTCTCCAGCTTCTCGCGCAGCTAGCACTCACACTTACGACCACGGCTGAGGTCTACCAACTGCCCGCTCACCGAGAGCATGAAGTTCGATATGTCTCTCGCTCAGTTCGGATCTTCTGAATAAAACCTCACGCCTACTACCACGGGCCAAGGTCATTCTACTGGCTCTTCGCCAGCAACCGCCGCACATTTCCCCTTACCCACCCTAGATCCTACTGCTTCTGCAGATCCTAAACTGACGTAGCGCCCGTCACAATTCGAACATATCCCCTACCCACCCTAGTTCCTATTTCAGTTCCTAATAACATATTCGTGGCCAGAAGGTCCGGTTCGTGTCGTTGGCGGTGGTTCCGAAAAACCCACGTTCGTGGCCGGAAATCCCGGGCCACGAATCTGAGTTTTTTCGGGATTTGCGGCCACGAACGTGGGTTTTTTGGGAGGGTTCCGAAAACCCACATTCGTGGCCGGAAATGCCGGGCCACGAACGTGGGGTTTTTGGGATGGCTCCGAAAAACCCACGTTCGTGGCCGCAAATGCCGGCCACGAACGTGGGTTTTCTGAAGGGGTTTCGAAAAACCCACGTTCGTGGCCAGAAATCCCGGCAAAACACCCACGTTCGTGGCCGAAAACCCGAAAGGTCACGAATCCATTAAGGTTTAAATTCATAATGATAAAGAGGTTTAGGGTGTAGGGTTTAGTGTTTAGGACTCAAGGTTTAGGCTTTAGGGTTTAGGGTTCAGAGTAGGGTCTGAGTTGTTAGTAACAGTGTAGACATACTGCAGCGGCGCCAGAACCCGAGCGTGATGCTTACGCCCCTATATTCATGATAACCTCCTATTAAGCAAGGCCAGCCTTCACAGCCTATAAAGTAGGGAATGGAAGAATGGTAGTAATAGTGGTTGTATGGTAGTAATATGATAGTAATATGGCAGTAATATGGTCGTCATAGTAGTTATAAAAGGCCCAGTCCGCATTGCCACCATGGCAAGATTCTCGGTATTTGGGCCACCGCAAGCTACGGTGCAACGGAGCCTTGAGAGCAGAATCTTCAGTGATCCGGTTTGGGTGGTTCGGGAAGGACGTCTCCACAATACGCAAGGCAAGTTGGGCTCGCAGCTGCATGCTGATCACTTCGAGTCCGAATCTGGCATGGCTGCTTCGTCATCCGACTCGCCTTGGCCGGACTCCTACAAGGGCCAGCTTCAATCTGCAGCTGTTCCGGGGTTTGTGTCCTTTAATGCCAAAACTCAAAACCCTAACGCCCTGAAAGCCAACACCCTAAAGCCCTGAAGCCCTAAAGCCGTAAGACTCCCAGCCCCAGACTCTTTTTCGTATACTGGGCCCCCGCAGCCTTGAAAGCCCAAGCCCCAAGCCGCAGCTGTTGGGGGTCAGCGCAAAGTATTCTTTGCCGGTGCTGTATGCATGTTTATCATCTTAGTAGCTGAGTGGATACACTTTATACTTGTTGGGATAATATTACCCCGTATAAAACTGAAAGTGTACACTTTTTGGTGCTTATGAGCTCAGCAACTAAGTCATCGTCAGGAGGGTGAAGATTTTGGAGGGTTTTGGGTTACCGGGCTCAGGGTGTCAGGTGCAGGTTTGAGAGGTATTGTTTGTCGTTTAGGGCAGTTCAGGGCGCAGGGTTTACGATGAGCTGGATTAAGGAACCGCGAGGCTGAGCAGAAAAATCTCAAGACGCCCTGAACTTCAAACCCTAAACCCTTAAACCCAGAACCCAAAACCCTAAACCCCCTAAACCCTAAACCCTAAACCCCCTAAACCCTAAACCCTAAACCCCCTAAACCCTAAACCCTAAACCCCCTAAACCCTAAACCCCCTAAGCCCTAAACCCTAAACCCCTAAACCCTAAACCCCCTAAGCCCTAAACCCTAAACCCCCTAAACCCTAAACCCCCTAAGCCCTAAACCCTAAACCCCCTAAACCCTAAACCCTAAACCCTAAACCCTGAACAGAGACTCCATGATTTGGCGTCTCAGTGCACAGGACTTCGATGGCTTCGGCCTCGGCGGGCTGCAGGGTTAGTGTTTAAAGTGTTGGGTTTGGGCTTTGGGTTTAGGGTGGCTTAGGATTTAAATTTGAGTTGAGGGTGGGTTTGCGTTGGGGTTTAGTTGAGGGTTTAGGGTCTGGGGTTTGGTCTTTCGGGTTTCTCCAGCAAGGACATTCAGCCGGGGGTTCCGGTTGGAGGTGCATGGGCTGTGAGTTCAGGCACTCAGAATTTAGCGTTTTTTTCGTGTCTTCTTGCACAGAAGCTGGCAGCAGTCGGCAACAATGGGTTTCTGCTTTGACAGTGGGTATTTCAAAACACGCACCCGGCGGAGCACAATCTTGTCATAGCTGGGTTACAGGAGCACCCAATTCTGGGTTTTTTTTCCTAAGCCCCACTGCCTGTAAACCCTGGTTCCTCAGCCCACATGGAAAGCTAATTAGTCCAGTTCAAGACTAGTGGTTCAGTGTAAGGCTTCATGATGTAGGGTTAAGCAGCCAGCGGGCTTGCAGAAAGACTGGGGAGCCGAAATTGTAAGTGGATCGTGCCGTTCCGTTAATGCTGCGCTTGGGTTGCAGGCAATGGGTGTTAAATTTCTTTATTTTAGGGTTGCTGAGTCTTCTAAGACACCATGTTCGAAAGCATGACTACCCTGATACTCAGTCCATGCTGCTTTTCCCAAGCGTTGAACCTAAAGCCCAAAGCCCTCCCTCTTGAACGGAAAGACGCCAGAGCACTCCTTCCGTCGGAAAGCTTTGCCCAGGCCTGCGCGATGCCCCAGTTTCACTTCAGATCCTCCTGACGGATCTGAAGACGCGACTCGGATGCGGAAAGTGTTTAAACCCCAAACCCATACATCCCAAACACCCTGCACCACATCTTCCTAGTATGATCGCCCCCATCATACTTTAATGCGCTGGTATAGATTCCATAGATTCTCCTGTTGGCACTTGCCTGTGTGGAGTTTTGCGAGGGAAGCAGGCACGCAGGCGAACATGCAGGCAGGCAGGGCAGGCGGGCAAGCAAACGTCAAAGATGACGCCCAAAGGTTGAAACCCAAACGCAAGGCCACTGTGTAAATCACCATAGATTTAGTGGTTTAGGGTTTAGGGTTTAGGGGTATAGGGTTGAGGGTGTAGGGTTCAGGATCTAGTGGGGACAGGAGCCTGCACAAGGAAAGCGAATAGAAAGCACAAAGCCGCCCCGACAAAAAGGACGGAGGTAAGCTGGTGACCTGATTTGAGCAGTGCGGCGCAAGCCGCCGGGGAATGCAGAACTCGTAGTACACCCCAATACGTCATTCGCCAGAGTTACACCATAAACTTTGAACCCCAAACCCTAAACCATCGAGTTTTCAAGGGGAATTCCGTCTTCAATCTTCACCTTAACCGTGGGTTCTGCTTGTTTTGGGCCCAAAGAGCCCAACCACTACCAGTGAACCTTCAGAACCTCAGGGAGCTACGTAAAGCCATGTAAAACGATATTCAATGAGCTTGAGAGGCCCATGCAAGAGCCCGATAAGCCCCTACACAAACCCGCTCAATATGCAAACCCTACGAGAGCCCTGCAAAGCCTTGCAGCACCTATACCGTCCTACAGCGGCACAAGCCCTACAACAAAAGCCTGGCAAGACCTGGCAAAGGCAACAGAAAACCCCAAACCCAACACCCCAAACCCTGCAGCCCCTGAACCCTGAAGCGGACAACTTATAGGATATTATGGCATATTCTGGTATATTATGCTATATGGTAGTATCTTATATTGAAGTCTAACAAGTTGCTTATCAAGGCTTGTTGTCATCCTTGGCCGGAACGAGTTTCGGCAGCGAGTCCAGGAGATCTCCTGCCGGGATGGAAGGGTTTGGGATCTTGTGTTGATTTTCTGGTGATTTTGTTTTCTTTGGGGAGGGCAGGGGGGTTGGGGAGGGTTGGGTTTAGGATTTTATGGTTTTGGGGTTTATTTTTCTTTTCTTGGCGGGGGTGAAGGGGGGCTTCTGCTTTTGGGGCTGCAGCGCTTTGGGCATTAGGGGCTCCTGGGGTTGAGGGGTCCTTTCCACGTGCACTCCTTGCCACGTCCCAGAAGCGATTCACAAAAGACAAGGTGATGGGACACCATTTTAAGGCATCTCTTCAATTAGATCCTTTAAGGGCTCCTGTGAGGGGTTCCCTTCTTTATGGGCTCCTCTGCAGAGTTCCTTTCAAGGGGTCTGGGAATATGGGGCCTTCACAGGCCCCACAAAGAAGTCCCAAGCTCCTTTCTCTCCGCAGCCTGTCGGCTCCCTTCGTCCTCTCTGCTTCCCTGTGCTGCTGCCGCTGTCATGACGCTCCGGGCCGCCGTGCTCGCTGTGGCCGCCTTCTGCGTGGTGGCGGCCTCAAGGGGGTCATATCAACGATGTACAGTAGTCAGTCGGTTATCAGGTACGAGAATGTACGACGATGTTGCCAAGATCTGTTCTGCTCTCTACCACCACATAGTTGGACCCATGCTCTAAATCATTCTTATAGAGTATGGCAATCCGTTGTCGAGTGCCGTGATCCATCACAACACAGTAGGTCAGGTTTCGGGTCCACAGCTCGTTGGGTTTTGGGTTTTGGGCTAGGCAGTTAGGTGTGACAGTATGTCGGTGACCAGAAGCAGCAAAGGGCGTCGACGCTGAAGCTGCCACGATTGCTTTATTGGCCACTGCTTGCTGCTCCTTCTACTCCTACCACTCCTGCTGGTGATACTACTACTTTCCACTATCACGACCACTACCAATACCGCTGGCCGCTTGCACTTCCGCTTCCATTTCCACTTCTGGGACTGTAACGGCTGTTACAACAACCACTTCTCCTTCTCCTTCTCCTTCTCCTTCTCCTCCTTCTCCTCCTTCTCCTCCTCCTCCTCCCCATGCTCCTGCTGCTGCTACCACGACGACGACTCTTGCATGTCCGTAAAGAGCCGAAGCTCTGCAGTCCGTCGCAGTTAAGTATAGTAAGGTCATGCGAGGTTCAACTTGATGACGTGTCAGCTGCGCCACCACTGCAACGGCTATGCTAAACCCGAACCCTGCCTTCGCGCGGCTAAACTCGAACTTCTAACCGCTGCGCCTAACGGTCATACACCCTCTTATGCCAAGCCCTAACAACGCAGCAAGGTGGGCGTGGCCTACGATGCCTTCGTCGCGCCTGCAGCACGTCCGGCGCCCGTGGCCATGCCCAAGACCGCCTGTGCAGCGCCCAGCGGAGCCACTGAAGGCAGCCTGGTATTGCGGTGGCTTGAATTCTATTAACTAAGATCCTCTTGTAGTTCCTGTATAATTACACTCTCTCTGGTGTCACAGGTGTCTACGACTCCAGGTTCATGGAAAATTTACTAGCAATGTCCCTCTACTGTCTCTGTATGACTAATGTAACCCAAAAACGCTATTCCAGTCATTACGGACACAAGCAAGACTGCAAGTGTAGGGTTCAGGTGTCGGATATGCCGTTATTTCTATCCGCTTTGAGTACATGCCCGACGTGTGTGTAACACATGAAAACATTGACAGAAATCTTCTTCGAAGCTTCTTACGCTTCGTGCCAGGCATAGGATTGCCAGGATACATCTCTCGGTTCAAGTTGAGGGCTAAGGTCCCGGGATGCGTTCAGAGTTGGGGCATCCCCAAACCCTAAACCCTAAGCCGGACAATGATGGGGATGCTGAAGCTGATGACGATGGTGATGACGGGGAAGATGCCGATGTTGTTGAGGCTGCTCCTGCTGCTGCCGCCACGGCTATTCCATGCTAACTCCTAAACCCTCAACCCTAAGCCCAAGCCCTAACCCCTGAGTCCTAATCAGCGCATCCATGAGACAGGGTGGGGCTTGGCTATGGCCGGCCTGGCCGCCGGTGCTCACGCCGGCCTGGCCGTCGCCTGGCGCTGCCGCTCGCAGCGGCAGGCAGCCGCCAAGGAGTCCACGCCGACGAGTTCTGGCAGCAATAAATGCATGCACGTACACAATTACATTGACAATCTATCTATCTATCTAGCCATCTATCCGTCCATCTATCTGTCTACATATATATATGTATATATATATATATATATATATATATATATATATGTGAGAGTAGGGTCTTGCGGTTGTATTATGCTACAAGTATTGTGCGAACTATAAAGGGAACAGTGGTACTACGGGTATAGTTATTCGACCCCAAAACCGAGGTTTGAGTGCGGAGCGCGGTCTTAGAGCGAGCCCATCTGCCCAGCATCCGAGAAGCCCCCGAAGTTGATCTCGAGCTGAAGCCAGTCTCGTCTCAGGGCACTTGCCGGGGTTTTTCCGAACCAAAAGCCCAAACTAGCTCAAGCATGTCAACCTCAACCCACGAGCCATCCGGTGGTGGCATTACTTGGGTATTTTTATAGCGTTTCTTTTGTGTTTTTCGTTTCCGGTTTGGGGTAAGCATGCAAGCAAGCCAGCCAGCCGGGCTGAGGTGAGCAAAAAGTGGCATCAGAGGTGTAGCTCTCTCTGGCTCTCTCGCTGTTGCTGTCGTCTTTTCCCCTCTCTGTCTCTCACAGCCGTGGATGTATGCTGGGAAGGCGCATAGACAAGAGAAGCATTGAACATGTAGTGACACGTGGCTATGACCATGCCTTTTTCCACCAGGCAACCCATCAAATCCCGAAACCTACACACCTGAACCCGTAAACCCTAAACCTTCAAGAGCTGGACGTCTGCCAAGCCTGTTTGTGAAGAACGGCTTGCCAGCAAACTGCAAGGGGCTGAGGTGAGAAAGAAGCGGCATCAGAGCCACAAGAGTCAGGTTTTGAAGGGATGAACGTGGTGTGTTTCTAGATGTGGCTTATGAGGATTATCTTAGCAGCAGCAGGTGCCGTTGGATCCCTGGGTTCCCGGAGCCTTACCAAAAACCCTTAACTGTCGGAGCCGAATCGAAAACCTTGCAGCTGCCAGAGGAAGCCTTAACCCCCGGAGCCCAAAGCCCTAATCCCTACAGCCGACATAAGCCCAAAGCCCGAAACCCACATCTCGAATCCTTCATGCCCGAAACCCGCTGTCAATCCGAAGCCTGAAACCCACATCCGGAAACCCTAACCTTCATAAAGCCGTAAACCCGAATACTCGAAGCCTTTAAGGAAGTACACGGAGACGGTTGCAGACGAGCGCCTTTTTGAGCAGGCCTTGGGGCACAAGAATGCCAGGCTTAAGGTCTAGGTGCGGGTGTTTAGCGTCTGGGGCTTTGGGTTTTGTTGGCGATTTGGAGTTCTAGAAGGGCGCTTGAGGGTTTGGGATTTGAAGACCTCGGGTTTAGTGTTTCGTCGTTCAGGGTTAGGCCTCAAACAGCCCAGCTCGCTTTGTGGGCCGACAGGCTTGGAGCTGTAGCTTGAGTGTCTTTCCGCTTCGATGGTCTGTTGGGAGGCCTGTGGGGTGTAACTTCTTTGTCTGGAGGCCCTCCCTGGACCATTGACGGTGGCATAGAGGCTAGATTCGAACATCGAGGCCTGAAGACGATAAGACCCCCCTGTAGTCCATATAACTTATAACGTCAGGATACTATAGAGTGCAGCCAAGCTGCGCAGTTAGACCACCGAGATTTTGCAGTAGGAAACCATCGAAATGAAAAAGGCTTAGCCTGAGTCAGATACTGAAGCGCTCGGGGGCCTTAGCACATCCTGGTCTGCTGATGCAGGCTCCCCTGTCAAGCCGTGAAAGCCTAGGATGCCCAGTAGTACCCTTATTCCCTTTTTGTAGTCCTAGGTTCCTTATAAAGTTACCCAGTACCAAAAAGAGAGGCCTTTTTGTTCTTAGGTTACTGGGTATCCTAGAAGCCCTCAGGCGAAGATCCGGATCCCAGCCCCGGGGAAAATCCGGTGAATGTACCAAAGAGGTAAACCCCAAACCCCTAAACCCTAAATCCTAAGCCCTAAACCCTAAACCCTAAACCCTGAACCCTAACCCCTAACCCCGAACCCCTAAAACCTAAAACCTACACCCCTAAGAGCCCCAAATCCGACAAGCCCTGCAGCCCAAAACATGTGAGGTCTACCTCCAGTACACTTCGGAGTACCTGAAGGGCCCTCTCTACTGGCACCCGGATAAGCTCCAGGTGCTTTGAACGGTTTTGTCTTAAGGAGGAGGGGTGTTGAGGGTTGAGTCTTTTGGTTTCTTTCGTCGTCTGGGTGTTGGTGCCTTTGGGGGGGTGAGGGATTGTAGAGTTTGGGCTTTCGGGTTTACGTTTTTGGGGGCTTCAGGTCTGCGGCGTTGGAAGAAGCACCTTTCCGTTTGGGGCTTCTGCGTGAACCCCGAACCCTGGACCCCAAACCCTCAACCCTCAACTGGAGAAGAGGCGTTCCAAAAACACCCTCAACTAAAAGAGTTCTAGGATTCGGAGATCCCAGCGCTCAGGAACCGCAAGCTGCAGGGGTCGGGGTCTAAAGGTTCAGGGATTTGAGGCTTCAGGGCTTTCGGGTCCCAAGACCTTAAACCCTTAAACCCTCAATCTAGGGTTCTTTTACTTAGTAGATGAGTGGATACACTTTTACACTTTTGGGATAAGACTACCCACAATAAACTAAAAGTACTTTTGTACCCTTTTTGGGGGCTTATGAACTCAGCAACTAAGTTTAAAGGGTTTCGGGCTTAGGGTACGAATCCCTAAGTTCATGGTGCGTGCGGGCCGATAGGACTGTAAACCCTGAACCTGTGGAAGTGTAAAATAAAAACCCTGAACCTGAAATGCTAGACCCTAAACCTTTTACGCCGGCATAAACTGTTTGGTTAAAGTATCTAGAAATGTGTGAAAGCTCCCCAAGCCCCAATCTAGCTATCCAGGCCCGAAACTAGCCAGTGCTCGGAATTGAAGGTGCTCGCCAAGGTCGCCTATCTGCCTATCCACCTATAGTTCGGGCTGAGCCGTCCGCAGAGGTGATACCAGAAACGACAATTTTATCCATACCTGCTTTTTTTTGATACAATACGTAAGAGGCCCCAGTATACAGCTTTTAGTAAGGTCCTTACCAAGGATCATCGAAGTGTACACTTGTAGTGAAGCTCCTGTCATGAGTTTATCTCCAACGCCCAATCTCTAGCGTGTCGGGCTTCTAGGCGCAGCTACAGTGTGGCACCTGCCACCCTCGACCTTCGACCTAGAATCCCAAGCCCTAGGCTCTGAACTTAAGTCCCAAGTCCGAAGCAAAAGAGCCAAACAAAGCAAAACAGCCGAACAAAATTTAGGCTTGCATGCCCGTTCAGAACTGCCCTGTTGCAGGGCTGGCTGCCGGACTACCCTGGCACTCCCATGATCAAGGACGCGATAGCCAGATTCAGATGCTGAGTTTGATGTTGACGACTGTGATGATGGTGATGCGGCTGCTGCTGCTGCTGCCGCTGATGGTGATGATGATGGCGAGTATGTTGATGATGGTGATGATGGTGTGGTGGGTGATGGTAGCGTTTGGAATCTGCCGTTCCTGAGGCTAAGTTGAGGGTTTGAGGTGGAGGGCTTGCAGTTTGATGATCGCAGTGGTGATGATGATGATGATGATTGCGATATTCGTGATGGTGTTCATTGTTGTTGTGGTTGTTGATGTCGTTGATGATGGATGATTTATGAATCATGGTTCATGGTTGATGATTGAAGTTTGATGAATGCTGATGGATGATAACGATGGTGCTAGTTGCCCGCCTGCACATAGTGCCGGCATATTCTTCTATCACCTTGCTGGCTCGGATAAAGGTCCGCTATGCGAGGGCTTGTCGTCGTTGAGGGCGCGTTGGCTTTTTAGGGCTCGAAAAGGTTTAGAAGGATGAACATCCCGCGGGTGAGGCTTGTGGGTTAAGGCCTAGTGGTGGGGGATATATTATATCTCTCGCTACACAAGCTACTGTTCCTACACATTCAAGGGACGGTTCTTTAATTGAGGGATTGGTGTTGTCTGGTGTCGGGAGCCAGGAGGGCAAGTACACCTCCCACGTCATCGGCAACCTCAAGGTGCTCCGACCCCTATGTTTTGTTAAGGAGTTTTAGTTTAAGTTGTCATAGAAGAGATCCATAAGGGTTCCTTTAAGGGATCTATAAGGGCTCCGTTAAGGGTTAAGGAGCTATGGATGCAGGGCTGAAGGCATTGCATTTAGGGCAGGGCTCGCAGGCCTTACGGAATGGAGGTCTGAAGAATCAATAAGGATAGCACCTTTTCGTCCCTTGTCGTGGTTTATAACAACCTCATGAACCCCCTATATCTGCATATTAGACCTGGAGAAGGCCAGGTTTAAAAGGCCCGTTCCAATATGATAGGCACCACCGAGCCGTGATTCCACAAAAGCAGCAAGCCCCGGGCTTTTCATGTCGAGTCTGAAGCCCAGGCTTTCAGCTCGAACGAGCTGGCCTTCCTTTCCATGCTCTTCTTTGGCGTGGGTCTCTACGGCCACCCGCCTTTTTCAGGGTGAGGGATTTTTTTGGTGTTTCGGGGTTAGCTAGGTTCGAGGGAGTAGGGTTTGGCTTGGCACGTAGTTGTTTGGCCTGTGCAGGGCTTTATGCAAGACTCGGAGGTTCTTCGCGAAAATAAGGAGGAGAGACCCTTCAGGCAGAAGCTCAGCATCTAATTCGGGGCCTGAATAGTTAGAATAGGGATGTAGGGGTTCCTTATTATAATAATAAATCAGTATAGTATGATATACCTCCCAACCCTATTCTAATGATTAAGGCTTCTACATGAATCGTCTCCAGAAGAACTTACATGGAGGCCTTCGCATTATCTGCGGCCAAGAGTTTCGGTGCTTCGGAAACCCCAAACCCTAAACCCTAAAGCTCTGAAACGACTCGGGCAGACGCACAAAGAAGGCCGTCAACCTAACTTAAAAAAACAAATTCCTGAAACCCTCAGCTAGCCAGCGACGGGCTTCTTTCGGCTAAGGGCTTCGCCGGTTCTTGAGCTGGGCCTTAGGGAGTTTCGATACCCATGTTTAATTGCGGAGCAGGGTTTAGGGTTTAGGGTTTAGGGTTTAGGGTTTAGGGTTTAGGGTTTAGGGTTTAGGGTTTAGGGTTTAGAAACAGCTGCTTTTTGAAAAACCCCAAAACCTAAAGCCTCAACCCTAGACCTGAACCCAGGTAGCCAGGCTCCTCACGCTTCAAAAATAGTCCGAAACCCTACTCCGACCTCCACATCTCAAAGGCCAAGTGACCAAGGGACTCGGACAATGCGTGTTGATCTCCTCCTACGGGCTTTTAGGGTCTGGGGTCCCTACAGAAGTCTACACCGAAAGAGCCCAAAGACCCTGTTCTGAGTTTTCAGGCCACTAGAGCTTGTTGAACCCTACCAAACCCCTAAAGGATCCGTGCAAAACCTGAGAAACCCCTTAAACCCTACTCCAAGCGTTCAGATTCAGGCCGCTTGGCTACACTCGAAATCCTCACACCAAATCTCGAGGCAATCTCCAGTTCAACTTCTACGACCCGCAGTGGGCGAAGGTTGATGCGGGCGGCTTCTTCAACGTGTTTCTCGGCTTAGACTGAGGAGTGGTAGAGGGTTTCGTGCTTGAGTTTTACGGCTTTGGAAATGAGGTCCCGGGTCTAGGGCCAAGGGTTTAGTGTTGAGGGTTTAGAGTTTAGGGTTCATGTAGGGTGGCTGCTGAGATCCTGCTGGCTGAGATGTTGCCAGAAATCGGTGGCACCTTCGGAGGGGGGGGGGGGAGAAAGTCCTAATATCGAGGAACCTACCCTGGATGCTCTTGGGCTCTTGGGCTCTGGGTTGCGGGGTGAGGTGCAGAAGTCAGGGAGAGAACTTTGTCATCAACCCGGCTGCCAGCTCGAACAGACGCACACTTTTACACAGAGGTCCTTGCCACAAGTGCAGCGGATGCTGTCGCTCGTGCTCCTGCTTTGTGCCGCTACCATGACGATTATGACGACCGCGACGAGGTTCATGACGAGCTGTGCTAGCAGTTGCGACACTTCTTATAATGATGCAGAAGATGGTGGGAATGTAGTACCGCCTATTACCAAGCACTTGCCAATCAAGGGGCATGCCTACAAAGAAAACGCCTGCAATCATTCCCAGACTTTACGGTACATAAGCTGCTTCAAACCCCCTATACAAATCAAACCTCGCTTCCCGAGCCGAGGTCCTACATCGTTGAGTCCTTCCTGTTCCTTGGTGTTGCGGTCCTGAGGGTTCTTCTGGTTTAGTAAAACCCTAAACCCTAAACCCTAAACCCTAAACCCTAAACCCCTAAACCCTAAACCCTAAACCCTAAACCCTAAAGCCTAAACCCTAAACCCCTAAACCCTAAACCCTAAACCCCTAAAATTACGAGGATGTTTTAGTTGATAGGGTTTTTTGGGGGCCTTTCGGCTTGAAGAGGTTTTCAGCCAAAGCTCGGTAAAACCCAAATCCTGAAGCCCTGAAGCCCCAAGCCGCAAAGCCTCAAAAACGCAACGCTCTTATAAATTCGGTTCCACAAACTAGGGTAGAGTTCTGAGGGGGTATATTATAGTGTGGAGCCTTGAGCCCTCTATACCTTTATAAAGAATTCTACAGAAGCCGTGCAGGAACCCTTAAAGTCAGGGGATGTTATTGCTAGCTTTTCCGCCTGTAAGGTGACGCGCAAGAATCCACTTGAGGCCCTGCCACTGTAAATTACCCCTAAACCCTGGCCTACTTAGGGTTTAGGGTTTAGGGTTTCCCAAACATACTGAGGCCCCAAAACTACCTGCCTGGTAGGCGCTTAGCTGATGTGTGTCGTATCTGAATCTGGCTTTGAATTGAATGCCCGTCGCTCCCCTGATGTCCTTTTCGAGAGCACTTTTCTGGCAAAAGGGACCCTCGACCCAAGATCCTGAAGCCACATACAGTCCCTCGGAAAACTTCAGAAAGGCTGCCCATCTCCTTCTTCATGCACATCGCATGCTACATCCAGCGACAGAACGGCAAGTGAGAGAAGACGAGGGGGCCAAGGGCCCCGCCTTTTTGAAAGCACCTGCTGCTAGCAGGGGCCTGATTGTTCTACTCCGAAACCCGAAGCCTTGAATCCAAAAACCCTACAAGACCCTACCTGAACCACTGAAGCCCGTAATGAACCTACTACACAAAACCCTCAAGCCAGAACCCTAAACCGTAAACCCGGAGAAAGCTACCGAGTTGGTAGTGCCAAGCTCCCGGCACGGCAACAGAGCTCGAGCCGGACAAAAGTGGAGCTAGCGGGCTTCCTGATGCCTCTAAATAGGTCAAGGCTTCGGGGCCTTTAAGAGGGCTTAGGTTAAGGGGTTTAGAGTCTTGGGGGTTTAGGGTTTTGGGGTGTTGGGTATAGGGTTTAGGGCTTAGCTTGAGGGCTTTGGGGTTCAGGAGTTACGTGTTTAGGGTCTGGGGTCTGGGGTTCAGGCTTGATGTCGTTTTGTTGGCTTCGTGGTGTGGCTTCGATGTCCGGCCTTGATGCCTTTGTATGGTGTATAGAGATACTATGGGGCCTTTTATTGTTTTTTGGGGGGACAGGGGTTTAGGGTTCATGGCTTCAGGTTTCGGGGTTTAAGTTCAGGACTATCGGGTTGCTGCTTGTTTTGTAGGGCCGAGCAATCTCAACGGCTCGCCGGACTTTATGAGACCTTCTAGGGGTTTTCAAGGTGCAGCGCTGTAGGGCTTTCGAGGAGGGACGGGCTTTCGCGGGTTGACACTGCAAGGCTTTACATGCTAGAATCTGCTAGAACCCCTAGACCATAAGACCCTCTGGTTTCGTTGCAGATATCTTGGAGAACTCTTGTACCACCCTGTCGATCCGATACAGAACCCGTAGAACCTTGTACAACTCTTAGAACCTCTTGGCTGAGCCTTATACAACCCAAAGAACGCTTGGAGAACAAGTATGGAGCCTTTATTGTCATAGAGATCTGAAGCAAGCCAAATAACCCTCACAGAACCCAGTCAAACCCGTCAACTCCTAAACGGCCCCGGAAAAAACCTTATTGAACCCTACACTCTACAAAACCTTTGGAAGGACACTGCACCTTGAGCCTTAAACCCGGTTACAGAACACTCTCTTGGAAGGACGCTGGCGCAACATTGCGTTCGCGCCTGCGCCGCGCCTTCGTGCGCTACGCTGGTGCGCCGCGGCTGGCATCCGCGGCGGCTGGGAGAGAAAGGAGTTGTGGTTACTTTAGGAACTTTAGGGGTTATTATAAGGCTTTTGAGGATTCTGGTCCTGCATTTGGCGGTTTTAGGTGGGCTTTGTAAGGTATTTGGTCGCTTGTTTGGATCATGGGCTGTAGAAGAGATCCACTCCAAGAGTTCTGTAGTTGTTCCACACAGGATCTGTCGGATCTGTCATCAAGTTCTTTCATATGGTTCTGCGAGGGTTCCAGCAGGGTTTTGGAAGGGTTTTAGAGCATAGGGTTTGCTTGAGCTCGTGAGGGTCGGGCCTGAAGAACCCTATTGAACCCTATTTCAACGATTCAGGCGCCTACTATGGGAACCTTAAGAATTACCTATACTATTTTGATCTATTTTGGAGGTTCCTTATGCTACTTAGAGTAGAAGGGGGCACCAAACCCTACTCGAATCATTTAGGCCCCTTTCTTATGTTAGGTTTCTTTTGAGGATGACTTGACGACTCCTCCTCAGGTTTGAGGATCTCCGGTGCCTGACGTGTTTCGGGGTTGCAATTGGGGACGTGTTCTTGAGGGTCAGGGTTTTGGATTGGGGAGGAGTTCCGATCAGTGGAAACCCTAAACCCTAAACCTGACCTCACTGCGTGGATCATATGTCTCCAGCGCTTGTCTCGTCAATTCACAGGCCCTGACAGCATACGTTAAGCTACACCGTGGTTTACCGAGGCTATCGTTACTTTGAGGCGTCTTTTCAGAAGTCTTCGGGGAGGTCCTGCCAGTGCCATGCTGCCCAGAAGCCTGGAGACGGAATGCAGCAATTCTCGGTGTCCGCCTGCGGTTGTTCTCGGTGTTGAGGACCCAGTGCCGACTGAGCATCCGAAAGTCTCAGAGGAAGATGCAGATGAAGAGGAGCTTGCCAATCTTTACATTATGTTCACGAGCAACATGCGAGCGACGCGGCCGGAAATATTGCGTGGCGTGCGAGCCTCTCAAGTGCTGCGTCACCTACCGTGGGTTTGGCTACGTCGTGATCTGACTTCTTTGTATCCTCTCAGCCAAGAGACAGCCAAGTTCGACCAGTTTTGGTCCCACAGCTGGAAGGGGGCACTGTGGGCGAAGTACGTCAACATCTTGTATCTTCAGACCTGTCTTCCTGCAAACATTGTGGGAATTATAACTGCAAGTGTAGCTTGCGTGCTTGTCTCAGAAGGTCTGCTGGAAGCAAGAAAGGGCTGGTGCCTACTGCTGGGATTTCTAGGCTTTTGCTTCACCCCACTCCTTTGGCGATCGGGGGAGGTGGTTTTTCTCGACATGGCATGCATCAACCAGAGGGACCAAGCTCTGAAAGGAGAAGCCATCATTTCTATGGGTGCCTTCCTGAAGCAGTCCGATTCCATGCTAGTCTTGTGGGATCCCACATGGGTGACAAGACTGCGACATGGCCGCACAGTAGGGCTTGGGGTTTGTGTTTAGACAGGTCATGCAAAGAACGCCATATCTTTTTGCTGGACTGTAAGAGATGTAAGGTGGTGCGTTTTCGAAATAGCTGCCTTTCTACACAGCCGCAGTTCCGGTTGCAAGGCGGTTCTACAAATTATTCCCCCTTTACTGGGTCCAGCACTCCTGGGTGGCGAGATATTATTTGGCCTGGCATGCGTTGCATATGCGTACATGGAAACCTCTCTGGCATCATCGGATGATTTGAGGTTTTCAGCAGTCGTCCATGTCGTGTACCATTTGGGCCTTGGCATTCTATGTTTCAGCTTTGTTGCGCATGCCCTTCGAGGATATGCCCGCAGCGTGGAGACGCTGAATGAGCAACTCTGCGAGTTCAAAGCTGCAGGTACAAGCAGCTCTTGCTGCGAGCAAGGCCATGGCGCTGAAGCTGACACCACTGTGTGCGACCGTGCGATTCTTTTCCATTGCATCACGCACTGGTATGGCTCGCTTGACAAGTTCGAGTCGCAGGTGCAATCTGAAGTGCGGACGGCCCTCATCGACCAGCTTGCGAACAAAGCTATATCTTATCGACGCTTGTTATTACTTTTTACACCATATGTCTGGATCCGCTTTGAGTACACAGCAAGCTATGGAGGCAATCGCATCCGGCAGATAGCAGATCTCGCTCAGACGTTCACATACTGGATGGCAGTCTATCCCTTCATGAACAAGCTTCTCTTCCGCTTGTGCTACCGCTGCCGAACCCGATGTTGCAGACTGCACTTGGACATTCTTCTCTCAGCGGCCGTCGTGATCACAGCTTTCTTGTATTACATTACCTGCTACATCATCCAACTCTACGTCTTTCAGCAAAACAAGCATGACCTTCTGCTGAGCATGATCTCACTGGTTTCATGGCTGGCTGTCACAGCCATCCTCTGGCGAATCACATGACTAGTAGCACTTAGGGTTTAGGGTAACCCGAAACCCTAAAGCCCAGTATGACTCTTAAGTCCATAATCCTAGAGCTTGGGTTCTGACTCTCCAGGAAAAGGCAGATAACATGGGGGCCTTGATAATTAGACTAGGGTTTGGGGCCTCATAATACTTCAATTATACTAAGGAACCCCCAAAACAGTATAGGTAATTGTTAAGGCCCCTAGACTGTAGAGGCGGTAGTAGGAAGTGACACCAGCAGAAACGGGAATACGAATGTCGACTACAATGAAAGTACATAATGAGTACGACTGGACATCTCTACAGCACTAACTTCACGGATACGTGAACAAACGGCAATCATCAATGTAGAGGCCTTACTATGCGGAAAAGGCTTGAGGTTTTTCATCGTACAGTGACTTTAGGGAGACAAGGGGCTACTACCATCAATTACTGCTCATCATGAGACCTCTGTATTCAATGCCCCCCACACACACACAAAGGAGAATGAACATGTCGGTACTAACCGCCATCACTGTCAGCATCAGTTTCGGCAGCAGTACTATCGTAATCAGTATCATGAGTCTCATCACTTTCACCGCCACCACGCTATCATCACCATTATCGCCATCTTATTCACTATTGCCGTCGTCATCATCATCATAATCGTCATCATCACCGTCATAGTGATGATGATGCTGGTGAGCACCACCATCATCATCATCGTCATCATCGGTAATGTCCCCGTTATCGTCCTCGTCATCATCATCAGCAGCATCACCATCACCATCCTCATCACAATCACCATCATCTTCACCATCATGATCAGCCTAGGCCTTAAATCTTAAGCCTTAGATTCCAGACGCCACACCCACATCCCACACCTTGCGCCTTAACCCCCAAGCCCTAAAACCCCAGATCTTAAACCCTGAACCCAGGCCCTGAATCCTGACATGTCGGATCATTGCCATGCCCTCGCGACTGAATTTCGTAGAAACCGCGGAGCAATACCAAAAAGACCCACGTTTCGGTATTTGGAGATTTAGCGATTTCGGAGTTTTGAAGTTCCAGTTTCAAGCGCAAGTCCGCGAAGTGCTTCGGCCCCAAAGGGGCCAGCTTTCAAGTGCCTCTCGGCGGAGGAGAGCATGAAAAGCAAGAGGAGAGGCTGCAGGAGCGTTCGGCTTCAGCGCGGAAGGCTTGTCTGGGGCTGTAAGGTCTATGGCCCCAGGACTTCAAGATGGGTGTGGGATGCTTAGGGGTACTTAGATTTTTTTTTAGTTTTTGGTTATTATAATCCCTAAGAAACAGCTAAGACCATAAGTTTTGCTAGGGTTCTAAGTTCAGTGTAGGGGATTTTGAAGTTAAGGGCTTGGGGTTTAGAAGTTTAGTTGTTCTTCACTTGTGAAGACCTTTTAGTACATACGCAACAGGTTTAAGGAACTCGGATGCAGCAGTGTGAAGC